ACTCTATTAGGTGGGTTTGGACATCTCATACTTATTCCCTATAAATACTAGGTTCTTTTATACAATTTATAAGATGAGAAAATATATTACTAGAATTATACTTTGCCATATTCTTGTCTTTATTATTCTTTTACTTGATCATATACTTCATTATTATTTGTCATATAATTTCAACATCTCAATCCAGCGGTTTGTTTCACAACAATTGATATCAAAACTATTATGGTATCTTGTTTGTTTTACAACATTATTTTATTTGATTGATGCTTTACTTACATTCATTTTCTATTTTGTTCGCCACGATTTATCATAATTAAGCTTCTTTGTTTGGTAATAAAGTAATTTTTAATTATTTTGAAAATTAACCAAACATGTTCGAGTTTGATTCCATTTTATTAATATGGTTATGAAATGGCGATTAATTTCGTCGAATGCTTTTTTTAACTTCAAAAGGTGGGGATAAAAATGTATTGAGTGTTTTTAAATAGAGAGCATGCATAGTCTCAAAACAAAGAATAATAAACTTAAATTTGTTTTACATAATCAAATTAAATAAAAAGATTAAACCGATTTTCATTTGAATATAAATTACAAATTATAAATTAGGCCATCATTCTATAAGTTGAAGGAAAAAAAAAAAAGTAAATTACGCTTTTGAAAAGGAAAAAAAAAAAAAATCCCTTTGATCAGGTACCGTGAAATTGCCCATTCATTTCTTCTTAATGCAACCTTAGCATATTACCTTACTTTCGTCTTCTTAATTAGAAATTGACTTTTTAATTTAAAAAAATTATTTAAGTGGGTAATATAATTTGCTCGAAAAAGACCCTTTGTAGTCAATATATATCTTCTCATTGGTTTAGGTTATATTTTTCAGAATTACAAATACATACAATTATATTGGATATTGTTTAGATTGGACGTCTACTTAATATAAGAAAATAGTACATATATTTGTTAAGTGGCTTAAATCTAAAAATAATAATTGATATATAATTGCTCGAGTTACTATATTAATAAAATTCGAGAATAATTTTTATGAAAGTATTCACCATATCCTTGATAAAATCGTTAAAAAAATCTCGTATGAATTGTGTGATGTCTAGATTGGATCTAGCAACACCACGTGATCTAGGGACACCGATGGGAACTTCCCACATAGAAGGTTGAGGTTCGATCCATTTCCATAGCTCCCTCAATTTCTTCTGTATTAATTTCAATTTTACAAGTTTATATTAGTGATCGCAACGGGGGCGGGTTCGGGACGGGGCGCCTTGGACGGGATGGGGCGGGACTCAGGGTGGTGAGGGGAGGGTGCGGGGCGCGGGTCTGCCCCGTTTATTTTTATTACTTTTTAAAATTTCTAGTTAAAATACAAATTCAAAATTTTAAAATCCAAAGCAAATAATGCTCAAATTAACTACATCAATATCCAAAGTAAGCACTCTAAACAAATAATGTCCAAAATAATTTTTTTTATTCTTTTATTTTATTTTTCATGGGGTAGGACGGATTTTTTTGCCCCATTCGGGTCAGGTCGAGGCGGAAAAAATTGTCATCTCTAGTTTATATTGTCCTATTCAAGTCATATGATTGGGTCGAGGAGTGCCAAATTTTTAATTTTTGTAATAAAAATATAACCTGATTAAAATTTTTTACAACAGTGTGAGTGAAAACTTTGTAATTCTTGTGAAACAAAATACTGAAAATGTTTGGACATTTAAAATGTCAGAATATTTTCAAGCGACTCTCTATTTTTAAAAAGTGTATTGTATAATTTAGAGAGCATCTATGAATTTGAATTTAGAGAGTACAAATTTTTAAATGCTTCAACAAGCTCGTTATATTGACACTTAATTTTACCACTCTCAATTTTTTTTTTCCCCCTATCTTTCATATTCACTCACTTTCTTTATTTTTTCCTATCTTTTATTTTCACTAAGGGTCCATTTAATTGCATGGATGAAAAATGGGTGGAAAGAAAATGAATTCCAAGGAAATTAATTGACTAGAAATTGTTTTCCAGAGAATTG